CCCCCCCCCATGATAGGAACCCCCCAGCAACCGCCCCCCAGCGTTGCTCCCCTGCAATGGCATCGTCCTGGTGAACCAGGAGCGTGGCCGAGAGGAGCTGTGGCCTTTCGCTCCATGCCCTCCATCCCCCCTGCTGCTGCCCCAGCCGCCAGGGCCCATGTGAGCCCTCAGGGCAGTTCTCGAGGACCGGGGCAGGCTGGCATATGGCAGAGGTGCCAGCACCCCAATGCATGGGAACAGCCCTGCTCCTTAGAAGGAGCCAGCACGGGGAAGATCCCAGCCTCCCGCTGCATTGCTCCCCGGGCTCCAGCCAGGCTAGGAGCTGCCCCCCACCTGGCCAGGGCCCCTGCAGGCCCAGGAGGCCCCTCCACAAGGAGGCCTGTCTTCTCTCTCTCAGAGCCCTGCAGGAAGATGCCGCGCTCTGCTCCCCTCCCTTGTGTCTGGGGCCCCTGCAGACCCTGCTTTAGCCAGAGGGACAGGCAGACAGACCGAGCAAGCTGTGGCTGAGTCTCCGACCGGGACGGTCCAGCTCAGAGCCTCCTGCAGCCCCTGGGCAGAGAGCTCCTGCTGCAGCAGCGGGGCCTCTCCCTGGCACCGGGGACGGCCGGACAGCGGGCGGAGCAGCAGAGGTTGTTTGTAAGATGTAGGCTCCTGGCTTGCAACCCCTTACCCTCGCTCCTGCCCACCGCGGGCTGCAATTTATCCTCCCGCCTCCCATGTGTTTGTTGTTTTTTCCCCTGGCTCCGGCGGGGGGGAGGGCAGCGAGTGGTAGGGAACTTTTCCCTTGGCACCAGCCCCTCTCTCCCGAGTCCCTCCTCCAGATCAGGACATTCGGGCCTTTCATCTGCAGAGTCTGTTGCTAATGCTGGTCACGCAGTGGGCAGATGCCGGCTTTCCCCGAGGGACTCAGTGCTCTTGGATCCCTGGGCACGGTGCTGTTCACACCAGCACTTGCAGCTAGAAAGCAGTGCCCGGGCGGGGGCATCCTTTGGGAGGGGGCCGTTCCCCATGCTGCCCCTTCCCACCCCTTGCTTTCAGTGGCAATTCCCATGTCTTCCTCCCCCAGCTCCCCTTGCATAGCCGCCTACTGGGATCACACCCTGAGCTCGCAAGGACACCAGCTGTTCTGTCTGTACAGTGCCATGCACACACGGTGCTGTATAAACGTTGAAGAACTGACAAACCACGGTACCTCCCACTAGGTTGTGAGCCCCCCGGGAACCCGCTAGAGAGCTGCAGGGAAACGATACAGGCTGCACAAACGCAGAGCAAGTGAATGCACGAAAGGGCTTTTACAAATATACCAAGTGGGGGCAGGGAGACGCAGTCAAAGGAGATTGGGTCCTTAATAAATGATGAAGGGGGTGAAGTTAGTGACTCCGAGGTGGTGGAGGCGCCCAGCTCCAATTTAAACTCTGTCCAGCAAGGCAGACAGACAAAGTGGAGGAGTGTCGAGAACCCACAATCCAGGGCAGATTTGGAAAGAGCTTGGCTCCTAGGTAGGGATCTCAATATGGGCAGGTTATCAGAAGGGTTCTGCAGCCCCCATTGGGCCCGACTGGCAGGAGAGTCTAGCGCTCAGCATACTGAGTTCTGACAATCGTGCCCTTGCAGCACAAGGAAGATCTTTTGAATGCAGACTCGATAAAGAGGAAGCCTGGGGAAACTTGGAAAATAGAAATACGAATGTGCCAGTCAGTCCGGATTCCCGAGTAAGAGAATTAACAAAATGAACTCAATATACAATTGGAAATTATTTCTGAAAAGCTCTAGGGAGGAGCTAGAAGACTGAATACAAGCAAAGGTGGTACCGAGCTTCAGAAAGGTAGGAAGAGAGATCCTGGCAATTACTGTCCCATAAATCTAACCTCCATCCCCAAGAAAACAATGGAGAACTATTAAGAGGATAAAAATCACTGACCGTCTAGAGGAGAACGTAACCAGGAGCATTCAGCAGCCTTGATTTAAAAAGCAATTACATTTGTTTGGCAAGACCATGCTGCTGAATGCTCATGGATTGCTTTTAAAGCTACAGTTAGTGGAGGAGTGTGGAGCAGTAGATGTCAGGCATGTGAGCAAATGTCTCATAAGACTGATGGCCCATAACCAAACTGGTAGGAAGAGGGCCAAGGGCCGGTTTGCAGGGAAGTCTCTATGCAGGAACCCGTTTCAGGTACAGTCCTCGATGGGCCAGAAGAGGCTGAATGAAATTCCCAGATGACACTAAACTGGGAGGAGTGGCAAACGGCAGAGAGGACACAGAAATGACACAAAAGGTCCTCATGAAAGAAATACAGGCAGTGGGTACTTGGATAATAATATTCCCCAGCTCTTAGATGGCACTTTTCATCAGAAGCACTCAAAGCACTACACAATCCTCAATGTCTTTATCCCCACATGCCCCTGAGAGGCAGGGCAGTGCTGTTATCCCCATTGTACAGATGAGAAACTGAGGCACAGAGAGACTAAGGCCCAGGTCTACAAAGGTATTTTGGCTCCTAACTTTTAATGGACGGTGCACAAGCCACCCTGATTCAGCTTAGAAAAATACACGTCAGTACATCTGGGGAGGGGGAAATCCTCCAGGCCTCACACCTCAGGGGAGGGAGAGTCCTGGGAAGCAGCGAGGCTGAAAGCGACACAGGGGCGAGCACATTTGCAGCGAGATGTGGTAGCAAAAAGGCTGAGTCTAATTTTGGACTGGCCACGTGGATGCCGGTCTCGGACCCACAGAAGTTTGGGCTGGATGAATGGACTATAAGGTGGATAGAAAGCTGGCTAGATTGTCGGGCTCAATGGGTAGTGATCAATGGCTCCATGTCTAGTTGGCAGCTGGTATCAAGCGGAGTGCCCCAAGGGTCGGTCCTGGGGCCGGTTTTGTTCAATATCTTCATTAATGATCTGGAGGATGGCGTGGACTGCACTCTCAGCAAGTTTGCAGATGACACTAAACTGGGGGGAGAGGTAGATACGCTGGAGGGTAGGGATAGGATACAGAGGGACCAGGGCCGGCTCCAGTCACCAGCTGAGCAAGCTGGTGCTTGGGGCGGCAGATTGTTCGAGGCGGCGTTCTGCCCAATTCTAGGGCGGCACGGCCGGGTTTGTTTGTTTTTTTGTTCCGCTCCAGCCGCCCTGTAGGGGGCGGCGGCGCGGAGGACCGGAGCGCCCTGCAGGGCAGTCCTCTTCCTTCTCTCCCCGCCGACCAGAGCGGAAGTGGGAGGGGCCGCGTGGCAGCGCCCCCGCTGTAGTCCTGGCCACCCCCTTCTCTCTCTCTCCTGCCTGCCCCCTGCCCCCCTCCAGCTGGTCCCCCTGCACCCGCGCTCCGGCCGCGCCGCAGGTTTTTGTTTTTTTGTTTTGCTTGGGGCGGCCAAAAAGCCAGAGCCGGTCCTGAAAGGGACCTAGACAAATTAGAGGATTGGGCCAAAAGAAACCTGATGAGGTTCAACAAGGACAAGTGCAGAGTCCTGCACTTAGGACGGAAGAATCCCATGCACTGCTACAGACTAGGGACCGAATGGCTAGGCAGCAGTTCTGCAGAAAAGGACCTAGGGGTTACGGTGGACAAGAAGCTGAATATGAGTCAACAGTGTGCCCTTGTTGCCAAGAAGGCTAACGGCATTTTGGGCTGTATAAGTAGGGGCATTGCCAGCAGATCGAGGGACGTGATCGTTCCCCTCTATTCAGCATTGGTGAGGCCTCATCTGGAGTACTGTGTCCAGTTTTGGGCCCCACACTACAAGAAGGATGTGGAAAAATTGGAAAGAGTCCAGCGGAGGGCAACAAAAATGATTAGGGGGCTGGAGCACATGACTTATGAGGAGAGGCTGAGGGAACTGGGATTGTTTAGTCTGCAGAAGAGAAGAATGAGGGGGGATTTGATAGCTGCTTTCAACTACTTGAAGGGGGGTTCCAAAGAGGATGGATCTAGACTGTTCTCAGTGGTACCAGATGATAGAACAAGGAGTAATGGTCTCAAGTTGCAGTGGGGGAGGTCTAGGTTGGATATTAGGAAACACTTTTTCACCAGGAGGGTGTTGAAGCACTGGAATGGGTTACCTAGGGAGGTGGTGGAACCTCCTTCCTTAGAGGTTTTTAAGGTCTGGCTTGACAAAACCCTGGCTGGGATGATTTAGTTGGGGTTGGTCCTGCTTTGAGCAGGGGGTGGGACTAGATGACCTCCTGAGGTCCCTTCCAACCCTGATATTCTTTGATTCTATGATCGACAGCAGTATATTGAGACATTAGAGAGAGGTCAGGGAAGAGCGGCTGGTTAGGGAGCTGAAAGATTATAGGAGCTAAAGTTTGCTAGGAGATGGCTGATGGAGGCAGGATATTGCATGGGAATTACTTAGCAAAAGGGGACAGAACTAGGGTTAGGAGCAGGGACATTTTCCTGCCAGTCAGACCGGCCAGGCTGGGGAACAGGCTGCACGGGCAGCAGTAAAAGCCACAGCGCTTAGGGATGGAGAATGCCGGACACGGTCAATGCTAGACTGGACAAACACTAGTAAATGTA